CCTTTGGCCACGTGACGGTGCGAGGAGATGGCTTCGAGGTGGAGCTGCGGCGAGGAGAGGAGACGACGGCGAGGGTGAGGACACGGCATCCTGGGGTTCTTCTCCCCACATCCCACCCCACAACTGGGGAGAGGACCCCGGCGTCCTGGGGATCTCCTGCCCCATTTCCCACCCCACAACTGGGAAGAGGACCATGGTGTCCTGGGCTTCTCCTCCCCACATCCCACCCCACAACCGGGAAGAGGACCCCGGCCTCCTGGGGTTCTCCTCCCCACCTCCCACCCCACAACTGGGAAGAGGACCCCGGCGTCCTGGGGTTCTCCCCCCTACCTCCCACCCCAGAACTGGGAAGAGGACCATGGCGTCCTGGGGATCTCCTGCCCCATTTCCCACCCCACAACTGGAAAGAGGACCATGGCGTCCTGGGCTTCTCCTCCCCACATCCCACCCCATAAGTGGGAAGAGGACCATGGTGTCCTGAGGTTCTCTTCCTCACGTCCCACCCCACAACTGGGAAGAGGACCACGTTGTCCTGAGGTTCTCCTCCTCATTTCCCACCCCACAACTGGGAAGAGGACCGTGGTGTCCTGGGGATCTCCTGCCCCGTTTCCCACCCCACAACTGGGAAGAGGACCATGGCGTCCTGGGCTTCTCCTCCCCACATCCCACCCCATAAGTGGGAAGAGGACCCCGGCCTCCTGGGGATCTCCTGCCCCATTTCCCACCCCACAACTGGGAAGAGAACCATGGTGTCCTGAGGTTCTCCTCCTCATTTCCCACCCCACAACTGGGAAGAGGACCATGGTCTCCTGGGCTTCTCCTCCCCACTTCCCACCCCACAACTGGGAAGAGAACCATGGTCTCCCGGGCTTCTCCCCACATCCCACCCCACAACTGGGAAGAGGACCCCGGCCTCCTGGGGATCTCCTGCCCCATTTTCCACCCACAACTGGGAAGAGGACCATGGCGTCCTGGGCTTCTCCTCCCCACTTCCCACCCCACAACTGGGAAGAGAACCATGGTCTCCTGGGCTTCTCCCCACATCCCACCCCACAACCGGGAAGAGGACCCCGGCCTCCTGGGGTTCTCCTCCCCACCTCCCACCCCACAACTGGGAAGAGGACCCCGGCGTCCTGGGGTTCTCCCCCCTACCTCCCACCCCAGAACTGGGAAGAGGACCATGGCGTCCTGGGGATCTCCTGCCCCATTTCCCACCCCACAACTGGAAAGAGGACCATGGCGTCCTGGGCTTCTCCTCCCCACATCCCACCCCATAAGTGGGAAGAGGACCATGGTGTCCTGAGGTTCTCTTCCTCACGTCCCACCCCACAACTGGGAAGAGGACCACGTTGTCCTGAGGTTCTCCTCCTCATTTCCCACCCCACAACTGGGAAGAGGACCGTGGTGTCCTGGGGATCTCCTGCCCCGTTTCCCACCCCACAACTGGGAAGAGGACCATGGCGTCCTGGGCTTCTCCTCCCCACATCCCACCCCATAAGTGGGAAGAGGACCCCGGCCTCCTGGGGATCTCCTGCCCCATTTCCCACCCCACAACTGGGAAGAGAACCATGGTGTCCTGAGGTTCTCCTCCTCATTTCCCACCCCACAACTGGGAAGAGGACCATGGTCTCCTGGGCTTCTCCTCCCCACTTCCCACCCCACAACTGGGAAGAGAACCATGGTCTCCCGGGCTTCTCCCCACATCCCACCCCACAACTGGGAAGAGGACCCCGGCCTCCTGGGGATCTCCTGCCCCATTTTCCACCCACAACTGGGAAGAGGACCATGGCGTCCTGGGCTTCTCCTCCCCACTTCCCACCCCACAACTGGGAAGAGAACCATGGTCTCCTGGGCTTCTCCCCACATCCCACCCCACAACCGGGAAGAGGACCCCGGCCTCCTGGGGTTCTCCTCCCCACCTCCCACCCCACAACTGGGAAGAGGACCCCGGCGTCCTGGGGTTCTCCCCCCTACCTCCCACCCCAGAACTGGGAAGAGGACCATGGCGTCCTGGGGATCTCCTGCCCCATTTCCCACCCCACAACTGGAAAGAGGACCATGGCGTCCTGGGCTTCTCCTCCCCACATCCCACCCCATAAGTGGGAAGAGGACCATGGTGTCCTGAGGTTCTCTTCCTCACGTCCCACCCCACAACTGGGAAGAGGACCACGTTGTCCTGAGGTTCTCCTCCTCATTTCCCACCCCACAACTGGGAAGAGGACCGTGGTGTCCTGGGGATCTCCTGCCCCGTTTCCCACCCCACAACTGGGAAGAGGACCATGGCGTCCTGGGCTTCTCCTCCCCACATCCCACCCCATAAGTGGGAAGAGGACCCCGGCCTCCTGGGGATCTCCTGCCCCATTTCCCACCCCACAACTGGGAAGAGAACCATGGTGTCCTGAGGTTCTCCTCCTCATTTCCCACCCCACAACTGGGAAGAGGACCATGGTCTCCTGGGCTTCTCCTCCCCACTTCCCACCCCACAACTGGGAAGAGAACCATGGTCTCCCGGGCTTCTCCCCACATCCCACCCCACAACTGGGAAGAGGACCCCGGCCTCCTGGGGATCTCCTGCCCCATTTTCCACCCACAACTGGGAAGAGGACCATGGCGTCCTGGGCTTCTCCTCCCCACTTCCCACCCCACAACTGGGAAGAGAACCATGGTCTCCTGGGCTTCTCCCCACATCCCACCCCACAACCGGGAAGAGGACCCCGGCCTCCTGGGGTTCTCCTCCCCACCTCCCACCCCACAACTGGGAAGAGGACCCCGGCGTCCTGGGGTTCTCCCCCCTACCTCCCACCCCAGAACTGGGAAGAGGACCATGGCGTCCTGGGGATCTCCTGCCCCATTTCCCACCCCACAACTGGAAAGAGGACCATGGCGTCCTGGGCTTCTCCTCCCCACATCCCACCCCATAAGTGGGAAGAGGACCATGGTGTCCTGAGGTTCTCTTCCTCACGTCCCACCCCACAACTGGGAAGAGGACCACGTTGTCCTGAGGTTCTCCTCCTCATTTCCCACCCCACAACTGGGAAGAGGACCGTGGTGTCCTGGGGATCTCCTGCCCCGTTTCCCACCCCACAACTGGGAAGAGGACCATGGCGTCCTGGGCTTCTCCTCCCCACATCCCACCCCATAAGTGGGAAGAGGACCCCGGCCTCCTGGGGATCTCCTGCCCCATTTCCCACCCCACAACTGGGAAGAGAACCATGGTGTCCTGAGGTTCTCCTCCTCATTTCCCACCCCACAACTGGGAAGAGGACCATGGTCTCCTGGGCTTCTCCTCCCCACTTCCCACCCCACAACTGGGAAGAGAACCATGGTCTCCCGGGCTTCTCCCCACATCCCACCCCACAACTGGGAAGAGGACCCCGGCCTCCTGGGGATCTCCTGCCCCATTTTCCACCCACAACTGGGAAGAGGACCATGGCGTCCTGGGCTTCTCCTCCCCACTTCCCACCCCACAACTGGGAAGAGAACCATGGTCTCCTGGGCTTCTCCCCACATCCCACCCCACAACCGGGAAGAGGACCCCGGCCTCCTGGGGTTCTCCTCCCCACCTCCCACCCCACAACTGGGAAGAGGACCCCGGCGTCCTGGGGTTCTCCCCCCTACCTCCCACCCCAGAACTGGGAAGAGGACCATGGCGTCCTGGGGATCTCCTGCCCCATTTCCCACCCCACAACTGGAAAGAGGACCATGGCGTCCTGGGCTTCTCCTCCCCACATCCCACCCCATAAGTGGGAAGAGGACCATGGTGTCCTGAGGTTCTCTTCCTCACGTCCCACCCCACAACTGGGAAGAGGACCACGTTGTCCTGAGGTTCTCCTCCTCATTTCCCACCCCACAACTGGGAAGAGGACCGTGGTGTCCTGGGGATCTCCTGCCCCGTTTCCCACCCCACAACTGGGAAGAGGACCATGGCGTCCTGGGCTTCTCCTCCCCACATCCCACCCCATAAGTGGGAAGAGGACCCCGGCCTCCTGGGGATCTCCTGCCCCATTTCCCACCCCACAACTGGGAAGAGAACCATGGTGTCCTGAGGTTCTCCTCCTCATTTCCCACCCCACAACTGGGAAGAGGACCATGGTCTCCTGGGCTTCTCCTCCCCACTTCCCACCCCACAACTGGGAAGAGAACCATGGTCTCCCGGGCTTCTCCCCACATCCCACCCCACAACTGGGAAGAGGACCCCGGCCTCCTGGGGATCTCCTGCCCCATTTTCCACCCACAACTGGGAAGAGGACCATGGCGTC